AATTATAGTGCTGGTCCCCCTTTAGAGTATAACCAGTAGGCTTCAAGGACTCTCTCTGTCTCCAAGGAGGTTTTCATAATGATATCTCTGACACTGACGTGGGGTTCATTGCATTTACTAATTGTAGTTCCATAGTTAACCAGACTACATCCCTTTATCCCACCAAAGGACAAGTATTTATTTGTGGAGGAAATATGGCCTATACTTTCCTCCCAACTAACTGGACAGGGATACATGTAACAGCTGTCCTGTTACCTGTTACCTACCCAGGGATGAGCCTGTCCCCATTCCTAGTTTAGATTACATCACAGGCCACTCAAAGAGGGTAATTCTAAGAAATATCAGGAGTCTTAGGTATGGGGGCAGCAGGAGTAGGGGTTTCTGTCCAACCTTCCAACCAGATTGTTAGTGATGTGCAGGCATTATCTAGTACCATTCAGGTTATTCAAGACCAAATAGACTCCTTGGCTGAAGTAGTTCTCCAAAACAGGAAGGGACTAGATCTCCTAACAGCAGAACAAGTAGGGATCTGTGTGGCATTGCAGGAACGATGCTACCTGTATGCTAATAAGTCTGGGGTGGTAAAACAAAATTTAGCCGAACTCCAAAAAGGCATACAAGAAAGAGAAAGACTAAGGTGAGGAACTCTGAGATGGGCAGAACAAATGTTCTCCTTCCCATCATGGATGACAAACATAATAGCAACTGTAGCCAGTCCTCTTGTTATGATTCTAGTGTTAGTTACTTTAGGTCCCTGCATAGTAAATAGGCTAACTGCATATATCAGGTGTCAGATGCAGAGCATAAAATTAATGATGGTTAAACAACAAACATATGAACTTGTCCCCTGAGAACTTTAGGTCAAAGATTTGACCTCAGTCACAACATCAGAGGGAAATGTTATAACCTAAGGCCCCCTAACTATCGCGCCATAAGGTCTGTTCTGTATAAGCGCCGCCTGCTGCTTTCCCTCCTCTTCCCCCTTCACATCTAACTAGGTTAAGTTTTAACTTCCCAAAAGGCCATAAAACAAAGGCCTGAGGTAATAGCTCCTGACAACCCCCTTCCCTACCCAGTGGTCCGTCACAAATTGTGTTAATTGCATTAGATTGCATTAGATTGTACTATTCTTCACAAAAATAGCTTCTTTATATTTGTATCATAGCAATACCTATAACTTGGCCTTAATGTATATGTGTTTTCCTTTTCCCTCTGGGTAAAGGATTGATATGTTAATCAATGCTCTCCTGTGTAAAGAACTGTAAAAGCTTACCTAGTTGATATGTTAACCATTGTTGCCCTCTACAAATAACATTTGTGGTGCTAAAGTAAGGCAACTAAGGTAACAACCTTAATTGCTGTTAGACTTCTCTATTCTTTGCTAAGAAAAACAAGATTTCTTCTTATCTAAACTTGCTTGTATGCAGGGAGACTTGCTTGTTAGCACAACCCTTACCTGATCTTGCTCTTCCCAAGACGTGTAATTGCCCTTTCTGTTTGCGCCACACCCCCATCGCTTTCCTTACATTGTGTGACCAGCAGCTGTTGGTGGATTTACAAGATAAAAGCCCTGACTTTTAGCTGTCAGGTGCACAGTCTCCAAATTGGCTCCCGGAGACTCGTCACCAGGCCTGACCTAATAAAGCCTTTGCTCCCTAAATTTTAATTTCTTGCTTCCTTGGATTTTATACTGGGTCTGAGTTATCACAAGTGCAATGTTTGCTTAGTGACATATTTTTTTTTTCCAAAGCATGCAGTCCTAGCTGAGATCCAGGCTATATTCTCAGCCACAAACACCTCATAGTGACCCTTTCCTTCCAAGAGTTCATAGTTAGCTTGGATTTGGATATGTAGCCATTGTCTGACAATAGACAATGACTGTTTTACTTCTCAAGTCTGCGACATTGTCAGCTATACCTCTGTCAACGTTTAGCCTCGTATTGTCTAATGTGGTAAGTTCACTTCCTTGAGCTTGAGGCTTCTTCCCAAAGGAATAGTTGTTTCTCATTCTCCAAATTCCTTGGTTTATTTCCTATTTCCTATTCCTCCAAATAGGTTTATAACTTATTTGGTTGGAAATTTTACCTGAAAGTCCTAGCAGAAAGGGGAATCTCTTCTATGCTTTTCAGATGATGTGCCTGCAAAATCTCTCCCACTTTTTCTAGAATCCATTTTAAAAGATAGCTTGGTTCATTCAGTCTCCGAATTAAGTTCCAATTCTCCTAGTCTCTTCAGATTTTCACATTATTTTGGCACTTTCTGCCTTCATTTAACTTTCACCTTAAACAGAGCATATTTCCTTCTCTGTTGTAACTGTTAGAGTATTCTGGTGCAGTTGAGAAACAAAAAGTACAAAATGAACAGGTTTATTGAGTTGAGGACATGGAAAGGAGCACACAACCCATGGCAGTTGGCCTGTCTCCTTTGACCAGATACAAAGAGGCACAGGGTTATATGACCTCTGATTGGAAGTGGCACATGGGGTGGATATTGAGGACATGTGAGGAACTGATTGTAATTCTCTGTGCATGCAAACAGGAAGGGGAGTTGCAATTAAGGCTGAAGAAGAAGCAGGAAGTGGTAAGCATTCCTGCTTTGGCCTTCTGCCACCCTAAGACCATGGCCATAATTGTACAGTAATTTATACTAGGGCAAGAACCTTTCAGTAACAGTGGCACTACAGGTATGAGTTTGTATACAATTTCTCTCACTTTTCTTCATTATAGCAATCTCAATACCAAGACTCTTTTCCCTAACTGACTTTTGTCCAAGGAGGGAGGGACCAGTTGTATAAATTCTGGGGCTGGGGCTACCATACAGCAAGAAAAGTCTTTCTATTCTCACTTCAAGCTGTTGCCAGAAGAGCTATGAAAATAGAAAGTAATCCATATCTTGCAATTATCTGCAACAAAATGTATTCTTATAGAATTATATTTCAAAATTATGATGCATTCATTTTGCACAGTGATTCAGTGTACCATTAATACAGTCATACTCCTCTGTCTGCTAGAAGCAAGTTCATTTATTAAACCTGTATGTTGGTTTCCTTCAGGTAGAGACCCACATGGATCTACAGGCCTACATCAACTGGCTACAGGTTCTTCTTTAAAACTTCACACGTTTAAAAAAAACTTCACACGTTTCACACATGTAAATATCGTATTGTCTCACTAATGTGAGAAACTGAAAGAAACTATATACATAAAAGTTAAGATAGTTATACTACTGGTTTCTCTGAGCTCACTGAGAAAGTTTTATGCTAGTGTTATTCAGACAATTAAATGCAGATGTCTTGTATTCTGAGTAATTGATTTGAAGATAACAATATGCAATGTATATACTATTGTTACCCTCTCATCCAAAAAAACTTCACATATTTGACCAGCACTGCAAACAAAACCAAAACAAACTTCATTTCCAATATAGGTTAGAGTGGTGGCTTGGATGTCTTTCAGTCATTGTTGACAGGCACTACTTAATTTCAATGATGGATCACTGTTTAAGGTTTGAATTGTAACAAGGAAGGCAAAGAATTGGGTAAAATAGCTATGACAAAAATTTCAATTCCTATGTGTTTATTTCCATAATTTTCCTAGATACCAAAAGAAAACAGAATAAAAGTGATATTGTATATTGTTAGGATGGTAACCATATCTAAATATGCCCATAGATGCATAAAGTAATCAAGGCAGAAAATCTAAAGGATGGAAGAACCTTGCACTCACTCATTGAAACAAAAATTTACTTACATTGACTTAAACAATTTTGTACCATCCAGTTGTTTTTCTAACACTAAGAGACCTTTGATCTCTCAAACTAAAATGTTTAAATTTCAATGAATATATTGTTTTTGAAAGAAAGATAATAGACAAAGACATACACATAACTGCTGTGCAGTGACTTTCTGAGGCAAAGGGAAAAAATGGCAAAATGAGTTCAGAGAAGGTAGTTTCTAGAACTATCTGTTAAGAAGGTGCTATATATAAGGTTATGCACTCTTCAACTATTTGAACATCCGATAAAAATACTTTAAAATTAAAATTTTTAATTTTCAGAAATTATTTGAATGGCCCAAACCCAAAGGGAGCTGGTAACACAGCCATTGCAGGAAGCACTTCCTCCCCAGGCGCACCCCTCTACACCAACCCAGACAGGAGACAGGCTCCCTGTGGAGAAACGGGTTGGAAGTAAATATTAACATTCATTTGTCAAGACTATAACCAATGCTAAATTCTTTTAATTCTTGCAATTCCAGTGATTACAAAACCTCTTTTTATAAATGCAAAAAGTCAAATAAAGATAAAGTCAATCTGTATCTGCTCCGGAGTGAAGACTTATGTCAAAACTCCTTCCTAGCACCAAAATGGCAGACTCTAAGTAAATATCACGAACGTGAAGGAAAAGGTTATTGTGTTTTAGGAACACTGCCAGAAAACAGTGGGCACACTGAGATGACATTTGTTCAAAACGAAAGAATTCTTTGACACTTAAAATAACCACTAAGCTCAAAGCTGCGGGCAGCTACAGTCATTTAAAGCATGCAGCTCGGGGGCCCAGGGCGCGGGCCGTGGCCCGGCGTTCAAGCCTATTGCTATTGCAGTATTTTGCCAGCAAACATCCTCCTGGGATGTTCACTGCTTGAGTATAAAGACTCCTGTCTCATCGATGCCAAGACTGGGAGATCAGAGGAAGCCGCAGAGCTACGCCCCGCCGCAAGGTTGCGCAAGATCCAGGGGCCTAACCAAGCTCCTGGGCTGAGCCCCTGACCTCCCTCACTAGGGAGTGAACGGGCACGGGGATGGGGATACGAGTCTTCCAGGGTAGGAGGTAGAGCGCCCCGCATCTGTTAGCGAGCCTTTACGTCATCATCCTTGCCCCCATTTTTAAATGAAACACATTTCCACATGAAACTCCAGGGAAACTGAGACCCGCACCCAGGAGCAGGAAGCTGCTAGGGCGCACGGCAATATGAGAGTTTAAGTAATAACTCTTCACCGTGTTCGAAACCCTTTCTTGACCGTTTGGGTGGCTCTCCCTTTGGATTCGGGCGCCCGAGGCGCGATCACTTGGAGCTGTTGTGCTGGGTGACGGCTTTGGGGCCCGCAGACACGGCGTGCTTGGCCAGCTCCCCGGGCAGCAGCAGGCGCACGGCCGTCGGCACCTCTCCCGACACGATGGTCAAGCGCTTGCTGTAGTGCGCCAGGCGCGACGCCTCGATGGCGATGTGCTCGAAGATGTCGTTGACGATGGAGTTCATGATGCCCATGGCCTTGGAAGACATGCCTGTGTCGGGGTGCACCTGCTTCAGCACCTTGTACACGTAGATGGAGTAGCTCTCCTTGCGGCCGCCCTTGCGCTTTTTCCCGTCCTTCTTTTGAGCCTCGGTGATGGCCTCTTTGGATCCCTTTTCGTGGGCTGGCGAGGAGCGAGGAGCGGGAAACCCCGGCATGGCCAGGCGGTTACCGAAAGTGGACCAACTGGAACGGTCGCAGCCAGGCCTATTTGTCATCTTTATATGCAAATAAGGATTTCAAATGTCTGGCACCTGGTTGGACGAATATTAGATGTGGCTCCTTTTCCTTATTGGACTGTAGTCCAACCAATCCAAAAGCGCGTCTGCCGAGCTCTGGTACCCAGGTCGCAAATCTTTGTTCAGGCCCTTTGTTTTAAGCTGGAAGGAGATCTTTGAGTCCGCGGCATATGTGAAGGTTGCTAAAAGTAAAATGAAACCCTGTTACAACTCGAGTCTTGATTCACTTTGGCCATAAGAAATACACTGGGACATTTCTTTCTGAAGCCAACCGCTCGGGAAGGGAAGATTGATGGTTATTTAACAAGAGGGAGTGAATGGCAGCTTTCTACTGCATTAACCATTTGTTTACCGTCACCTTTCAACACCAGAGATAGGTTCCTTACATAATTCAAGAGTAAATCCAAACGGTTAAAGTATTTCCATCGGGAAGCATAGGTTTTAACTGGAGAAAATTGACTAAACTGGTAGCTCTTTGTGTTGTTATCCATGCCCATGAACTCTCTTTAAAGTGACAGCCATATGCTAAATGACAGCTTGATGGCAGGATTTCACCTGTGTCTCCCCAGACAGCAGCCACTTTTGTGTTAACTGATGTTTCCATAATAAACAACAGCCACTTTTATGTTATTTGCTGTTTCCATAGTGATGTTAATTACTGCCATTATGTTAATTACTGAATGGCCTGCCAGCGCACAGGCCTGTTGAAATTGTCCTCAGGATGCCACCCCAGTGCAGTAACTTTCAAGGTAATATAAATTGTCACATGTGCAATTTGTCAGGGATAATTTGGAGAGCTGCTTAAAAAATCAAAGTCTCAGGCCTGGCCCCAAAGGAGTAGAGTCAGAATCTGAAGTTTAGCATTATACTCCAGCACGTTCTATCTTTAGAAATCTGATTGGAGGCTACTTATCTGACCTCTCTGGGTGACTAGTTACCTTCCCTTCCCTCAATTTTGTCCTCTGTAGAGAAGCCGTCGTGCCTGTCTGGTAAGCAGGGTTGCTGAATATATGTCCTATGCTTCATTCCCACTAGCTCTTTCCTTTGGTAAAGTTGGCCCTGGCCCAGGAGCTGGGCTGACTCACTAGATTCACCCAACCCCATCACAGAAGTATGGAGCAGGCTTTTTTCTCCTGCCAGAATCCTCAGGGCCAAGATGTCTTTCCTGCTTGCACTTCTGGGGAGATACACATGGCACCTGGCAAATGCCCGGTCATGCTTGGCTAAGAAAAAGTGTGAGTCAGTCAATGCTGCTGAGTTTAGCTGACTTCTGAGCTTCTTTGGGCAGCAGCTTGAGACTGGGTTTCCTGAGCTGCTGTGGACACTGCCCCTCCATCTAGCTTCTCTTTCTCTGCTGCTTCACTCATGTCTTTTGGGATATTCAGCTATTTTTCCAACCCTATCTCCATCCCACAAAGTCACATTCTCTCATTTTCTTCTCTCTCTCTTCCTTTTATTTTGCTGAAACCAGGACCTTTGCACTAATCTATATCCCCAGCCCTTTCAAATTTATTATTTTCAGGCCTTAGTAAATTGCCTGGGATGGGCTTGAACTTCTGATCCTCCTGCCTCACCCTCCCAAAGTGCTGTGATTACATGTATGCACTACTGTGACTGGACCAAAGTCATTTTTTTTGCCGATGATGGGCACTTGAATATTTCTTGAATGAATGAATGCACAAATGAATAAACAGTCTACTAGTCCAAATCCAAATCTGATAAATGAAATGAAATTACTGAGCTCAGTTCTTGATGTAGGTGCTTTAATTTTTTTTCTCCATATTATTCTCATTCCTCCATGTCTTCTAGAGTGAATGCACATGATACATATTGACCGGCGCAGCCCCCCAGTGAGACAGAGGACGCTCTTGTGGGTAACAGGAACTGCCGCTTTATTTACGCGGGCTCTGGTTTATATATTCGGCTGTGACCAATCACAGGCTGCCATGAGGAAGCAGGGCGGGAATGGGGCGCAGGCTCTGGCTACTATATCCAGCTGTGGCCAATCAGGGGTTGCCACAGAGTCGGCATGGGGCGAATACGGAGTGAGCAGGAGGTGCGCAGGGGGTGGCTAGTTTAGAGAGGGACCTAACGCACTGCGGAAGCTGGCGTGGTCCTTAGTCCCAGGTGGGGTATGGTATGTTGAGCGCCTGTGCCCAACACATATTTTTAAATAAAGAGAGAATAAGCAAACAGAACTGTATTGTCACATCCATGTCCCCTGGCTTCCAGGTACAGAGATGTTTAGGCTTACCCTGGGGTGATAAATGAAACTCCATGAGATTATTTCCATGTATTTTGGAAAATGCTTGTACTCATCCTCTTCACTATGGCCAGCCTGATGCACAGCACATGTTAGGTCTGAGACTGACCCTGTGACACTTTCACAGCTCACCAACAGATCTGTCTGCTCTTTTCAAGTTAGGTGTGTCAAGTTCTTTGGTTTAATTCATGCTAAGACCAGAATCTGCAGATCCAGATTCACTCAAATTCTCCTCAGAATACTCTTTCAAGTTTACCATCTTTAGGTTCTTGTTTCCTTTAAATGGGGTTATTTTACTGAAAAGGATGGCTTTTCTGTGAACTTTAAACATAACTCTGGCTTTTTTGTAGCACGAATCTGACAAATCTGATGCAGGCACTCATCCTTCAGACCAAAGAATAATGAGAATATTGCTTTCCTCCTAAAATATGTGCTTGATTTAACAAGCATTTCAGGGATGTTCACTCAGAGCTGAGTAGCCACTTACTAAACATTCAGTTCAATTTATTTTTCAAGGTATATACACCATAATCAATCCTTTGCTTGAGCTAACTTTGGTCAGGCTGCTGAACTCTTTATAGGCCCATCTATGCATGGTCTTATAAAATCCAGTTTTCTAAAGAAACTCTGGTAAGGCAGCCAAACAAAAATTCCCCCACCCTCAATATCTAATCAGAGTCTTTATTCTCTCCTACCCTTAAGGGTTGTGTTGTTACTGGTTTGGGGGCAAAAGTCTAGGTTTCAGGGGTCCTCAGAAAGCAAACTCAGCCTCCATTTCCAAAGGCAAGGGTTGGGTTTACGTAGTTCAAAGTATAGGTCATCCGAGTTTAGTGTGATCTAGTCAATGGTTATCTCAGGACTTTTCCATGAGGTTCTGGGAGATCCATGTTATGCTTGTAGTAACAGTGTAGCTTCTGTCATGAGTTCAGGGTTCCTGCTTGAAGGGGGGCAGCCTCAGTTTCTGACATAGGGTAATTGCTTCCTATTTGGGACTGTTTGTGGCCTATCATGTAACATTCTGCTTTTCCTAAAGTCTCAGGTGGCTCTAGGTTTAGGACGATGAAAACTTGTACGTATCACTCGAGAGGGTGTGGACTGTACATTGTAAAAGCTGGCAGTTGTGTATTCCTACAAGTCCTGAAAATTGTTTTAAGTTATTCATGCTTGGTGTCCTTAGTCTGGAAGGGGGATGAGATAGACTTGGAATATTTAGGGCCAATAAACCTCATAATACTCTGTAATGATTAGCATGCTTACTTGCAGAGCTGAGTAAGAAGCTGACACAAACTTTTAAGGTCGTAAGACAGATATAAGATGAAGGCAGAGGTACCAGGCTTCATCCTGCCTCTAGTTACACACTGAACATCTGAAGGCCCAATCCCTAAGTCCATGTTACATGATTGCCCTGGTAGCCTTCAGCAAGAATCCTGCTTGGTGGGTCCACTCAGAGTTCTCCTCATACCTGGTGTCCCCACTTGGTCGTTTTCCAATCACGTACCACGCCTACTGCTGGTTATGCATTTGCAATTATCCATGCTATGCAGAATGGAGACCAATCTCTCCTTTAACCAGAGATACTCATGTAGTGGTATCTGTACCTTTTTGTGTTACTACAACAAAATACCTAGACTGAGTACTTTATTTTTTCTTTTTTGCCACCAGGAATTGAATGCAGGGCTTCAAGCTTGTCAGACAGGTGCTACACTGCTGACCGACTTCCCCAGACCAGCTGAGTACTTTATAAAGTGTAAAATAAATGTGAAATTTGTCAGAATCAAATGGAGTCAATTGTGTGCACCTAAGAGGTACAAGTAAACACAGAAGGAACAGTTCTTATGCACTGGTGCCTGATAACGAGTCACACAAGACTCCTCCAGAGCCAGAAGCCTGTGGAGCCTACTATGATCCTACACAACATGTGCTCCTAAGGGACTGAGGGTGGCTGGGTGCAGTGGTGAAGGCAGGGGTAACCTGTTTCAGTTTAGCCTGGATAACATAGTGAAACACTCTCTTAGAAATAAAAACAAAACAAACAATAAATTCTAAGCATTGGGGTGTAGCTCAGTGGTAAAGCATGTAAAAAGCCTCAGGCTTCAATCCTCAGCCCATGTTCACACACACACACACACACACACACACACACACACACACACACTTTTCCCTTCTTCACTAGTTCTAGAGAACAGTGCCTGGTGCTGCTGGAAGCCAGTCAATATGCCGTATTTGCTGAATGAATGACTGCAGGCCTGAAGTGAGTGCGTTTAATAACCTGAAGCTTGTGTGTGTGTTTCTTTGGATGATGGATTCTTCCACTACAGCCAAGAAGCTATGTCCAGGGGCTGAGGGTTTAGCTTAGTGACACAATCACCTGCTTGGCAAGCTCAAGGTCTTAAGTTCAATCCCCAGTACAAAAAAAAAAAAGGAGGTATGTCCAGAGGTATGTCCGGGTTGGGGATTTAGCTCAGTGATACAGCAACCACTTGGCAAACACCAGGTCCTGAGTTTGACTCCTGATACAAAAATAAATGAAATAAATGATAGGATTATTTCCAGAAGATGAAAAATATTCCCAAAAGATGAGGAGTATAAATCAAAAGAGGCCTTTATTCTGGGAACACGAAGAGAGAGGACTGGCACTCCGGCTGCTGAAATCTGGTGATCTCTCTCACGCAGACACGTGGCATGGGGGAATATAAATAGCCTAAGCTTAGGGCAGTGCCCTAAGGCCATTAGAGATGCACAGGTATTTCATTGGCACACGTTTGGCGCCAGGGGCAGATTCCGAAGGGTGGGGGGATATAGGGTTACAGGTAAATCTCTGGGGGGGGGGGGGACAGGAGCTCCCTAATTCTGGCTGAGGCTTTTTCTGGCTACAGTGTCCGGTCTGGGTCAACAACCCTTTCAATAAATAGAAGCCATATCCCTTTAAAATTTTAAAACACAAGACATTTTTTTAAAAACCAGGAGCGATAAGCCATACTCCCCAGTGTTGACAGCAGCTAAGGGAAAGCAGGACTTCAGGCCCCAGCTGGATTCTGTCTGGTGGCTGCCCCTGCAGCACAAGGTAAGGACAGACTTCCCAAGGACAGGTTCCCACATGTGGGGACTCAGAGCTGAGCAACTGCAATGATAGGGCATGTGTGTGGTTTATAGAGATCGTGAGACTGTGAAGAGGGGTAAGAGGGTCTGGGTGACCTTCTCCATGTAACTTGTAGCTGTTAGGGGCGTCTGGTGTACTGGGGACTGGGCGCAGGTATCCCAGCCTCACTGGTTCTTAGGTGCTACTGAAAGGGTTTTGGCCCAGACAGGACACTGTAGCCAGGAAAGCCACAACTGGAAGCAGGAAGCCCCATCTCCCCTGCCCCTAGGAAGTTACCTGTGATGCCATCTTCCCGCCCCTGGGAATTTACATATGGTGCCAAACCTAGGACCAATGGGCTACCTGTGTATCCCTAATGCCCGCCTTAGGTTCCACCCCAAACCGAGGCTATTTACAGGCCCCCACGCCACGTGTCTGCCGAAGAGATCGCTGGACGCCAGCGGTGGGGGTGCTGGTCATCTCTCTCCGTGTTATCAGAATAAAGGCCGCTTTTTATTTTATATTTCTCATCTTTTGTTAATATTTTTCATCTTTTGGAAATAACCCTAGCAGCTACAAGGTAGACACCCAGGTGCAGACCATGTGAGGTCATGCACAGCCCCTACCCTTGTTTGCCAAAGAGTGACACTTATCCATTGTATTTCAGCAAATGAAAGCCTTGCACTTGCCAGTCACAGGGGCTAACAAGAGTCCAGTGATCCACGTGGGGCTGGGGGGATGAACTGGGGTCCACAGCTTCTTCTGACCATGCCCGTGAGGCATTTAGTAGGTGCCACCGGCACCACACAGCCACCAAGGCCTCTCTCTCCCCAGCAGCATCCTCAGGGGACTCCGTGGACCCCAAGACACCGCTGCTACTCCCACAGTGGATTTTGGAGATGTGTTCTTCAACCCAAGTGCCTTCCCCACCTCCACTGATGTCGTGTATTTCTTTCCCTTAACACAGTCATTAAATCCCTTTAAGGCTGCTGAAAGCATTCGAGCTCCCTCCCCCCAAGGCTTGGCTCAAATGTGCACAAATACTACAGATTTCATACTCAGAGACAAAACTGTGAGAGGACAGAATAATGGACAGCTTCGAAAAACCATGAAGGAGCAGATGGGTGGGCTTGAGTGCCCTCTGCGCAGTGGGAGTGGTAGGCCCTAGTGCCCCCTTTCTTTGCCCCTCTGTAACCTGAACTCACCAGCAAGGAATTCCCACATATTTAAAAAAAAAAAAAATACGGACTGGACCAGGGATATAGCTCAGTGGCACAGCGCCTGCCTGGCAAACACAAGGTCCTGAGTTTGATTCCCAGTAACAAAACAAAACAAACTTTAGAAAGATCTAATGACTTTGTAAATGCTAAATGCTAAGAACTGGATTTTGTAAGAGTGTAGTGAAATAGAGATCCATACATTGCTTGTATCTTTTGGGAAACGCAGTTTGTCCACACAGATAAGAAATCTGATTTAGGAGTTTGAGTTTTGTCCATTTTAAACTAAATCATTTCACTTTATCTTACAGCATTCTTAGTTTATCGAATCATGTAGGTGTTGTATACTAACAAAAAGAGCTTTGTTATGTTTGTGTTATGCCCAAGTTATATGACCAAAGTACCTGTAGCGCCATCATACTGTTCTGTATGTGCCATTTTTCTGGGTGACCTAATTGATATGTTAATCATTGCTCCCCTTTGCAA